ATCGAGGGAAAGAGAGAGAGAGAAAGAGAGAGAGAGAGAGAGAGAGAGAGAGAGAGAGAGAGAGAGAGAGAGAGAGAGGGAGAGAGGGAGAATGATATTTTCTAAAAGATATCCTATATCGGAATTCCATTTTCCTCTCCTATTTTCGCACGTTAAGTATCTTTGCTGTCAACCCCTAAATTACATAAAATTGTAAAATTCTATGTTCTAAAATATAAAATTCTAGAGCTACATGTACATACAAAACATACCTTAAAACTCTATAAAAAGACGGACTGAAAGAGGTACTTAAAAAGTACAGGATCAAGGAAGACTTTTATCATATATTCGTGTCTCTGTCGTGTCTCTCATATTCATGTGCTCTAGAAAGTTCTATCGGATAGTGATAATACAGTATATAAAATATTCAATATCTGATCGCCATTTTTACGATAGAGATGCCAAAAGTGATCTTGGAGAATTTGCGAGATTATTTCGCATGCATGAGAAAAGACAGATTTTAGAGACTGTCAATGTATTATTTTCGTTTTAATCATTATGCGTCTTGTTAAATAATAATAAACTTTGTCCATGAGATAAAACGCTCACAATTTTTTAATTTAATTTTTACATTAACATAAACTTCTCGTGTCAGAAATACAAAAATTGTAATCCTGTTGCAAGAGATATAACAAGCGAGCGAGCGAGCAAGCGAGAGAAAGAAGCAGAAAGAGAAAGAATATTTCAGTAACATGTTTAAAAAATAATTAAATTGTCAAAAACAGCTTATCTCTTTTTATATCTGGCTGTATATATTACTGCATCTATTCCTTTCCTTTTCGTTTATATTTCCTCGCGCACATCGTAAGAAAAGCACTCGCTCCATCGGCGAGATTAAAAAAGTTGCGCGGTAAAGGGTTAACAAGCTTAAATCGTTTACTGGGAAAAGCAATATTTTCCGCAAGTCAAACCTAAATAACTTAAGACAAAAAGGAGGATATTGACACGACAAGTTTTCCCTCGGAAATATTCACTACAACGCGATAAAGTCATATTTTTTGCATTGCGGAGAAAACGCAGAGTCATTTCCTCGCCAACTTTCTCGCATGTCACAAAGGTGCAGAGCGGAGATTTTTTTGTAGAAAACAAACAATTACACATGTTTCGTCGTAAATTAAAATTGCTTGAATGCTCGAAGGTGTCGTGAACTTCTTCACGCAACTCGTTATTATTAAAAGTAATCACGAAAAAAGTTCCCGCACAAGTTTCCCATGCATATTTCGCGCGGCGTCGTTTTACTAACTTCTTTTTTTTTCCGTTCAATTAACAGCGCATGTGTGTGTGACTTTTCTCTATTCTAACAAATTAATATCACATAATATAGGTACTTGAGTAACAGATGCTCTGGATAAAATTTCTGGAGAAGATCGGAGGAACGACGAAGCCAAGTTAAATAAAAAATATAAATAACGGCAGCTACTAAAACCGGAAATAAAATGGCTACTAAAAGTGGAACAATATAACCTGATCGCGAGCTGAGCATTGCCCGTAGACATCTATAAACATCATCGTCTTACGACAGAATACGTGAGCGTAAAAAGCAGGAAAGACCATGAAAAAAATACGCGTAAAACGAGGGACACAAAAAATTGTTGAGCGAGAGACGCAGAGCAGAAGAAGCAATCTCGGCACGCAGGTCGTGAAATTATAATGTGAAACATTAATACATCGTGAATGAATTATTATAATAACGATGATAACACGCATAAAACAATGATGATATTAATAAAATTAATAACAATTGTTATTATATACATTATAAAATACTTTGATTGGTCATGTTATTACATCACAATGACACATTTATAACGTGAACGTATTGCGAATTAAATTATTATAATAATTATTATTGTAGTCGCGCGCACTACTATTGCGGGCTACTACTCCTTGACGAACTAATTGACTGCTGTTGATTGCAGAGCTGCTGCATTGTAACGTTGGCCGTAAGTGGCCACGGGCACCCGCACCCGTTTTGTATTGACTTGCAAACTTCTGGTTACAGATTATGAAGACCAGGCCATTGCTGAGTCCTGGTTAGGTAGGCGTGCGCTGTGCGCGAACTTTGCAAGGACTAATGTACCTTTCCGCAAAATCGTTCGAACAGAGGCTCGAATTTCCCGATATTGCCGACACCCATTTCTCCAGATAATCAATGAACGAAAATTGTTTCGTCCGCGAAATTGGCATCTACTCTTTCGCTCGAGAAATTTCACGACTTTATTTGTAAATTTATGTTCCTCACAGATCCGTCCATTAAATAATCTGATCGGCCTCTCTACATTTATTTACCTCAACTTTTCCACGTCTCAAATTTGCTACGGGCGCAATGATAAGACGTGCAATTGTTTAATAATATTATCTTCTGGAGGAAAATTCGCTTAATTGAACTCTTGACACACAACGACGCCATTTGTGTCGCATGTTATTTTAGACGTCGACGTCTCCGAGATACCAAAAATTGTAGACTAATTAACAATATATTAGGTTGTTCAAGAGGTAATTTCGGTTTTTTGCATGAAAATGAAAGACGATATTTTTGATAGAAAGAAAAATTTTATTCTGTTAAATATTAACTATTTTATTCTAACACCTTTTGCTATCTTTGAAGTAATAACATGATTCCACGCTCGTAGAACTTCTGGTCCTGTTGGCAAAAAACTAAATTAAATGGTTTTTGACACTTTCATTTGAATCGAAATTTTTACCATCCAAAGAATTTTGCAATAGTTGAAACAAATGACAATCGGATGGTGCCAGATCAGATGAATATAGCGAATGCGGTAGCAAATTCCATCCAAGTGCTAACAGCTTCTAGTGAATCATTAAACTTATAATCTATTCAACAAGAAAGTGTGGGTGATATTTTTGTAGAAAATCATAGTACCATACGTAACACCATCTACCTTATACCGTTTGAATCTTAAAACTAACTTCTTTTGCGCAGCGTACATCAAAAAGTTGCGTTGAGTAGTCGTTAAAAGTAAACATTATGTTTAAAAATGAATTAAAAATATTTGAAGCATTAGGAGGCGGTGTTTCTTATTAACCATTCTAAAGGACCAAACTTAACTATGGTGGCAACTCTTAGAACAATTAAAAAATCAGAGGCTTTCGTAAGGAAGTGAGTAAATAAATTCAAAACCGCTGGAAATGTTGACGATCTGCCAGAAAGGGGGCTGTCTCATGCAACGACTCTCATACGACGACGAAGGAGGACAAAGCGATCTTATATCTCTTTCAGACAAATCCTAGTCTTACCCTACGTTAGGCCTAAGTAAAACTCTGCCGAAAAGATCAACATATCTCGCTTAATACCATCAGAAGCCGCCTACATGAAAATGATGTGGCATCACCACACTTCAGTTCGCCATGAAAAAACCGCTGTTGTCAGAAAAACTCAAAAATGGCATAACTATGATGAATTGGCCGGCATTCTCTCCAGACACAAATCACATCGAAAATGTTTGAGCAGCTGTGCATAAAAATAAAAACAATATGGCGTTCTTTACCAGAATACGCCAAAAATCTGGTCGAAAATATGCAAAAACGGTGCCGAGCAATAATTAATAATGGAAGCGACTGGATCAAATATTAAATAATTGTGCATTACTAAAAATCTTCTATTTTCGTTTAAGAAAAACAACTTGACTTTATCTTTTATTCTTTTCAGATTATTACCCACACTTTCTTGTTAAACAGACTGTATGTAAGGTCTGGCGTTGTCATGATGAAACAGAACACCTCTTCTATTCACCAATTCTGGTCTCTTCTGCTTGATGGAATCATTTAATTTGTCCAATTGATGACAATATACATTCGAATCAATCATTTAGTTGTTTAGCAACTAAAAAATACCATTCCTTTCCAATTTTATCAAACAGAGAGCATTACCTTCTTCTGATGAATATCAACTTCCGAAGTGCTTTGAGCTGGTTCATCACAAGCTGCTCCATGATCTTTTGCGTTTAATATTGTTATACACAATCCATTTTTTATCTCCAATTATGAATCGCTTCAGAAATAGATTGTTTTTCTCATGTTCAACAGCAAATCGCAGATGGTAATGCGACGAATTAAATATCTTTCTTTGAGAACGTATGAAACCTAAATATCGAGCTTTGAAATGAAACCAAGTTGCTTCAAATGTTCATGTATGATCGAATTCGATAAATTCAATTTCTCAACAATTTCTTGTGTTGTTAAATGATGATTTGCGTCCATCAATGCTTTTATTTGGTCTTCATCTGCCTCAACTGGCTTTCTAGAACGCGGTGCACCTTTGAAGTCGAAATTTCCAGAACGAAATTTCTAAAATCAATTCTGACACTGGCGTCCAGTCAACACATTTTTTCTATACACGGCACATAATTCTTTTCTTGTTCGCGCTGCATTTTTGCCTTTACGGTAATAAAAACGCAAAATGTGACAAAAATGTTCACGTTGATTTTCCATATTTGATACGACGCGAAACAAAAACAACTTGACAGATTCCAAAACAACTTTTCTTCAAATGAAGCTTGAAATGTACGTTATGAAAATATAAAATGATTTTCTGCGTCAGAATGAAGTTAAAAACTGCTTAAAAAGGCAACTAATGCTATTTATTTTAAAAAAACCGAAATTACTTTCCGAACGACCCAATAATTATTGTTAAATTATTGTTAAACAATATAAAACAATATTTAGCAGCGTAAATATTCTGTTTTTATAAAGCCTACATAATTTTAAATTGAGCTTACATTAAATGGTACTTTTACCACACATCGAGTCCTATTTCATTCGTATGTTAAGGGGTTGATTCATCGGCTCCTCCCCTCCTCCTCTTCCTCTTTCTTCTCCTTCTCCTCCGAAAGGAAGAGAGGGGGGAGAAAGAGAAGGGGAGAGGAGTCGGTCAAGACATTCTCCTCGCATATCGACAATAACAATCATAATAAAGCTAATATTAAGTAATAATAATTTACCTCGGCTGAACTGCTCGTAGCTAGCGATCACCCTCTCGGCGTTCTTCCGGGCGATGTAGAACCACTCACTGCTGTTAGTCAGGTACTTGTATTCGATCGCGAGATCCTTCACGAGGATGCCGTCCTGATTCGGCAGCCGGTGGGCGAACGGGCAATACAGCCAGCGGTCTCTGTACTGAAGCTTGTCGTAGCAATTGCCCGCAGCGAAGATGTCCTCGTCGAACTCCACCATGGAGAGGACGCTCGCGTGCAACAGATATTCGGAGGACAGCATCACTTCCGGGGCGTACTTCCAGAGCCGGGTGAGCATGTTGGCGCGATTCACGGCGAGATTCGCTTCCAAACGGAATCTCTCCTGAGCGTATTGGTCCACCACGCCTTCGCCCAGATTCAGATCAGTGCCGGCGGTGCAGTTCTCGCCCAGGGTGTGTTGGTTCTCGATTATCCGCAGGAAACGCGTCACTATGTCGACCTGGGCGGCTTCTGGTCTCCTGCGACCGTGATCCTGGGACGCGTTCGCCGGCTCTTCGTAGCTCGTGTAATCCAATATCACGTCCTGTAGGACCTCCTCGTCGAGGTCGCGCGAAGACTCACTGATATCCTCGGCCGCCGGGTCGACGATCGTCTCGGTCAAGTTGTGATCCACCGTGGCTGTGAAAGTGGTCTTGTTCGAGGATATCGCCTTCCGCAGTTTACTCAGCGGGTCGTCTTTGACGAGGTCCTTGAGGGAATCGGGACTCGATCGTAGAACACCGTGATTTTCCAGATGGCGCGCTTTGAGTGCGCTCTCGAAGTCTTCCCGCGGCGCGTTCTTGATCCTCTCGGAAGATCGGCTGCCGGTTGCGGAGTTATCCTTGGAGAAGTTCCGCTCGACGAAGGAATGATTACGCATGAGAGAAACGGCAGGACTCTCGTCAAGAACGTTTCCCTTTCTCGCTTGGTACAGCTTGAGCAAACTCTCCAGCCCCTCCGAGGCTCCATCTTCGGTTCGATCGAAGGACCGGCCGTTCATCGAGCTGTCTTTCGAGGAATTTTGCTCAAGGATCGACAAGTGATTGCGCTTCGATGAAACGGAGCCATCCTGATAATCGACCTGCTTCTCGGCCCGGCGCGTCTTGAAACGGATCGCTTGGTCCTCGCGGACGTAGCTTTTGATCCTCTCGAAGGACAGGCCGGTCGCCAGGTCCTTCGAGGCGTCCTCGACTTTCTGCCGCGCAAAGTGACTCCTCGATCTGCCGTGCCGAATCTGCGATCGCTCGACGCTCGTCTCAGTCTGCTCGACCTCCATCCATAGCGCCTCCATCTCCCTCGACGAGACTTGCTGCCGCGAGCGCGTTTCCGTCGAGCGGCTCCTTGCGGCTCGCTTCTCGCTCGGAACGCCGCCGCCGCGGTTCTTCATCTCCGCTGTGTGACGTTCCCCCGGAGGAGGGGGGATCTCCGGAGCGGAGCGTGTCGCCGCGGTGAGACGGGCTGCGATTGTGCGAATCTCCGTCGAGAGGTCCGTGGAGACCGCGCGATTCTGCACTAACAGCCGGCCCATTTCCGCGCGACGGTCTCTGTCGTCGAGCCGACGAACGTCCGCGGTGCGACTCGCCGTTTCGGCCGGACGCGATTCCGTGATCGCGCGGATCGGCTGAGCCCCCGTGGGGTCGTTGAGTGCCGAGCGGATCTCCGCGGCGCTGCGGAAGTCCGTCGGGCCGATGGACTTGCGGTCGGCGAAGGACGAGCGGTGGTTTTGCTGATGCCGCAGGTATTCCTTCGGCCTCTCGATCTGGAGCGGCTTCTCGTAGTGGCTGCCGAGGGAATCTTGCGTGAACGTGAGCAGGATGAGCGCGCACCAATAGCCTGACGCACTCATCTTCAGCCGCTCATCTTCCCGTGCGCAGCTGGTGTCCGTTTGTGTTACATCCGCTCGCGATGATGAGTCCTCGGCCGCTTCATCGAGCTTAATCCTGACATGTCCGATTCGATCGTGCGCCCGCGACTCGCGCTGGCTGCTCGCTCGCTCGCGGCATCAGCGCGGCAGCTGCGCAATTTATGTGCTTCCCGGGATCAATTGAGCTCTCGAACATCTTCATGAACGAGCGCGCTCAGCGACTCCGCCGACTACTTGCGCGCGCGCGACACACGCAAGAGCGTGGGATCTCCCCGTGGATCAGTTTAGCATCGGTATCGGAACTCGGTTATCACTCCCCGGCGCGACATTCATATTCAACGTTCGCCGGTTTCTAACATTCCGTCGACGCGCGACGCGATATCTCATTCGGCTGCTGTAGATATATATAGGCTTCAGTTTCACAATGCCTCCCGAACTTTCCGGTCCTTAAGCAATAGCGGCTCTTATTGCCGTGAGAATGGCTCCTCGGCATCTTCCGCGTGTCTTACGTTTCTCCGTAATTCACCGGCACTCCGTGGATCCTGGACGCTTGAATAAATCGGTGTGTCCTCCGCGGGATCTTACATCTCTCCGGAACTTGTACGGCTCTTAATAAACCATGACCCTAAAGGGGCCCTGGTCTTTAATAACTGCTCGACACCTCAGGCGATTAGTTTATCACTATTTCAGTCATTACTTCTTATTAGCGGCGCAATCGTCGGCGCTGCCGACGATGAATTCTTCGAGCGACGAACTGATCTCAACTTTGATCGCTCTCGCGATTCAATTCAGGACGCAGCCGGAATATCGCGAAAGAACTGTCGACCGAAATCTTCCTCTTCCTCTTTCTCTTCCTCTCCCTCTCTGCCTCTCTTGCTCGAAGCTACAATTTCTCACGCCGTTGTCGATGCCGATTTTTGCGCGTCTCATGGATTGACATTTCGCATCTAACGCAATCTCGACGTTAACGCATTAGCGATCGCGATCGAAAATCAACGAGTATGATGAAGGGCTCTCATGGATAAAAGCCTTTCGTCGATCTCACCCTCTCCCCTTTGCCGGTACTCACCTCCCCTCTCCCTCCCTCTCTTTCTCACCCTCTCTCTCTCTCTCTCTCTCTCTCTCTCTCTCTCTCTCTCTCTCTCTCTCTCTCTTTCTCTTTCTTTCTCTCTCAAATGTCAAATTAAATTTGATTTATTGGAGCGATCTCCGAACGGATACGAACGCGGAGCCATATCGTCGTGATCGATCGACAATTTTATCGCGCAATCGTCGCGCGATCGCCATCCTTCGTAATCCAAAGGGCGAGAGGAAAGACACAAGGCGTTTCTTCATTGATTCAAACGTACGACACGTTCAGCCAGAACAGCAATGCCGGGATCCACACGTGGTTATATCATCACGATCAATCGTAATTCTCTCGCCGACGGTGTCCTTCCTGGCTGATTTTTCCAGCTCCGGAACTCACGTGCGTCATTATAGATTACAGCACATAATCACATCGCCGCGCGCGATCTATCGCAACGAGAAGTGTAGATTCTCGCGACGCACGTAACGGTCGGTTTTCTCGGATAATGCGCACGTGACGAATTTATCCGTGAGCGCGTGACGTCGTCGTTTTATCCCGTCGACGATTAGCAACGGCCTCGACGTATCGAACATTGTTGCGCGCCTTGCACTAGACAACATACATACTTGTCTATCTGATCGGCAATCGTTTTTCGGAGTTGGTTATCTGCTCGCTTAGGCAAATGTCCGTAACTGTTTGCGCGTGACAGTCTTATGCGGCGTGCGATAAATGAACAAATAACTGAATGGCTAAAATAAAAATTTCGCTGGATAATATACAGTCATGTGACACTCTCCTAGCATTTTTTGCAGCAAAGTTGAATAATTGATAAGGCGCTGATGTCACGCGCGGATAAAACGTGATGAAAAAGAGCATTCCCAATGAATCATTCAAAAATTAAACGTCACAAAATTATCAACGAAATTATCGACAAATTAAATAGTGTTTCATGATTCCGTCGGAGATTACGTCATTACGTCATTAGATTCATGTTGCGAGCACCATAAAATTTTACTCTCATTAGTGAAAACTGAATCAGCATCAGCATGTTGTTCCGTAATTACGCAAATTAATAACTGCTTTATGATATATTCGATACCGGGAGTACTAATACGAGTTTTAACACGAGTTAAATAATTATTCGACTACTCCTTTTTCTCCCTTTTTCTTTTTCGCTAAATTAAAATTCCTCTATTTCGTAGAATTTAATTCACTTATCATAATTGGTAAAATATTGAGAACCGCGAAAATTCAATTTATATCGGAATATTGTTGTTAATCGGTCAGATTGCAGCGCGATGTCAGATAATTAGTCTGATTTTGCCGATAACAATTTTCCAGATATTCTCTTCCACGTTTTCGCCTCTGGATAACGGTTAAAAATAAAAAATAAAAGGAATCATCCGACTTATATATCAGAAAGTTGCTTTAAACTAGTGATATAGATTATTTGAAGAAAAATTTTCTTAAAATGTCAGTCGTATACACGATGTTCCGCACACTCTAAAATTAATCTAATTTTCTCAATAATCAATTCTTCAATTTTTAGTTTTTATCATAAATCGATATTCTCGTCATTTTCATCACAAGATCACTGGACAAGACCTCCAAGAGCGACATAAAAAATTCGGCCTACATTGATACGTAGTCTTTTCGTACGAAAAATCGCTTTAAAGTGCGTTCGTTCCTAACAGCACTCGGTACTTAATTCCATTCTCTCGATTGCAACGTTCTCTGGGATCTTCTCGCGTGCTTTTTTTCAATCCTACGTTTTTCGCGCTTTCTTTTTTTTTGTTTTATTGATCAAACGTGAACGGTGGAAATCGCAAAAATCCAATCGGGATCGGCGCGCAGTATTTTTCCGATTAATCAGCAATAACGTTTTGAATTTCAATTAAATCCCCCGATTGTGTTAAACCCATCATTAATCGTTTCCGAACAATTACACGTGAATCGCTCGTAAACGTCCATCTGTCATAAATGTCCGTGACTTCGGATAATCGAATTAATATCGAATCGTACGTCGACGCAGTTTCAGCCGCGCAAATTCGACCGCGTCCGTTGCATTTTCATGGACGTCTTCCGTAAGATGTCTGCATGCAATCCACCTTATTAGCGAACGATGTGCGACTTCTCGCGCGACTCGGTGTGTTTCTTTTCGTCGCGCTGTTTGACCGAACGATTTTGTGATCCACTTCAAGTTGGATCGATGAATCACGCGTGCGAATTCATCCTGCTGGTGATCATTTTACTACGGCAATTTTACGAAATTTCGTTCCCTGAAAAAACGACTTTGAACTCTCTATCTCGCGAGTCGGTGGCGGAGTCACAATGGATCCTTATGCGCTCGCACGCGGCGTCAAACTGAGGGTTGGAAACCCGCCACCCTTCGTGGAGAACCAATGTGAATGCAGAGCGCATGATCTACCCCTCTCTTACCAATGCACCGAGCTACGCGTCGGTTTCTGCTTCCAACGCTTAGTCTAGATCTTAATCTTAATCTTTTCGTACGGCTGTCTCAGTGCCGTTTTTACGCTACCTAGCGGGACATATGAATAAAGCCGAGTATGCTTTTGCCTTTCTTCATCGTCGGGGGACGAAAAAATATGGGGATATATATGTGTATATACATATATGTATACAGGGTGTCCGGGATTTTTTGGAAACGAAAAATTGTGAAGATTAATCAGATCAAACTCAGAAGAAAAAATTCAAGTACTATTTTGCAAAAATCCCAACAGTTATTAGGCTATTAATTATTGAAAATGACCACATCTAGAGAGTCTCTTAATTGATAACTTGAAAATTTGAATACTTATTTGCAAAATGGTACAGAACTTTTTTGTTCAGAATAATCTAATTTACAATTATGTGACGGCTATTGTGCCTAGCAATAAGTTCAAGATTCAGGGTTCAAAGTTCAATTTACTCATATCTATCGCTAGACACAATAGCCGTCATACAAAAAAGAGTAATTTCAGAACAAGCGGAATCATTTACATTTTAGAGGATTTTATTCTTATATATGGCCTCGAAAGAATTCCTCTAAGATTAAGAAAAAAGTATTATAAACATATTATTCGTAAAGTTAGAAGAATTATGTTATATGTATAATACAAATCTTATCGATTTTAATATAAATTTCCTCTTATACATAGATTATTTAATTTTTTTTAAGAGGATTATTATTTATTCTTACTATACTTTATTCTTACTGTTTATACTGTTTATATTGGTTAATTTGAACAAATTATTATAATATATAGCGAAAAATATATATATAAATATATGGATGTACATCTGGCTCCAGTTCTACAATAAATAAGCACGAATGAAATCATCATGAGATGAGATCATCATAACAAATAAATTTCCAGTCAGTTTTGTTACGTATTTCTATAGCTACAAAGATGTTCATTATAATCATTATAAAATTCATTATAATTCATTATAAAAAATAATTGTTTGGAACATAGTTTAAAAAAAGAATATATTTTTGAATTTCTTGCAATAGATTTTAAACTGTATTTGAAATATGGGTAAATTATCTTCGTTATATGTTACAGCAACACATATATCTTTTTTAAAAAGCATTCTAAATATTCCAACCCATAAGCATATGGTTATTTTTTCGTTCATGTCTGGAAGTAGAGCATGACTGAACAAAAGAAGCCGACATTCAAATCAACTTATTCCTCTTCATATACGAGAGTATATGAAGAGGATATACGAGGACTTACGAGGATATACGAGAGTATATCCTCGTAAGAGGAAAATTAATTGATATAAGAGGAAATAAGAGGAAAACAGAATAATATCTAATAAATTTGAGATGAATGGTTCACTTTAATCGCTTTATCGATAGAGGAATCCTTTTCCTGTAAAAATCTTTACTTAGAATATGAGATTATGGGAAAAATCACTTTACAAATAGAATATTTTCTTTGGGATGTATAATTGTAGATTAGGTTATTCTAAACAAAAAAATCTTTCATTATTTCGCAAATAAGTACGCAAATTTTCATCACTTAAAAATGCTTCTAAATGTGCTCATTTTCAATCATTAATAATTCAATAACTATTGCGATTTTTTCAAAATAATACTTGACTTTTTTTCTCAGTTTGATCTAATTAATTTTCACAATATTTTATTTCCAAAAGATCCCGGACACCCTCTATATGTATGTATATATATGTATACATACATATATATATATGTATGTATAGCGCAACATCTCTTTCTCTCTCTCTCTCTCTGTCCTTTTCTCTCTGTTCCCTCTCTCTCTCTCCCTTTGTGCTTATACGCGTGAACTTACAGTTCTCCCACGTCTGACAGTAAAAGATTGTAGCAACCGCGCTGCGGAAATACAAATAAAATGTTTTACGCGCGCTTATCAAACGTAAATAAATTTTCATTCGCTTGATCCTCATGCAGCTCGATTTACGTTCGATTAGCATAACTTTTTATTCGATATTATATTAAAGCATAAACTACAATCGTTAAGCTTTAAAAGCAAATGCATAAATATACTTTTATAGAAGGCAAATAAAACGGTATATTATCTGCGAAGATAACTGCTCCGATAAATATAAAGTTAGCTCGTATCTCCGCTTCGAATGCATGGAATATATTATATTTTTCATATCCATTTTTATTTAATTTTACGGTACTTTCGCAATATTGGACGTAACAGTTCAGTCAACTGATGCATCCTAACGGAGCGACTCAGCTTCTCGTGTTTCTCCAAACACGATAGTGTTTGGAGAAACGGTAATGTTTCTTAACAGGTCAGTTGGTTATTCTGATCTGCAGGTGCTTTGAATATTTATGTATTTTCATTTCTATATGCCGCGCTATGAGAATTTACATCGTCTTTATTCGTACGATCTATATCATTTTCCTGAATTTCCCATTTCATCTCGAATCGTAAATATTTGAGATTGTAAAAATAATTCGTGCACAGAATAAATAGAGAGGCTTATTTAGATGGACGGCTAATATTTGATTGTAGTTGTCATTAGTTTGTT